TCTGGCAGAGATATATTATTATATATATATAAAGCTCTGTGACCCGCAAGGGTCGAATGTGGAAGGTGAGGGGGCACTTTGGCTATTATTGAGGGGAGTCACGTCAAGATTTGCACGAAGAGCACTATTGCGGCATGGAGTGACATCATTTGAACACTTTTGATGATTTTGCACAGTGTGGCATCACAATTTATTTTATTGTAATTAATATCTTATTTAATTGGTTTAATTAATTGAATTTAAGTATCACTTTGCACAGTTTAAGAGGTATTAGTTGTTCATCACTATACCACCAGGGACGTATAATTTATATATGAGGACATTGCACTAGTTTTTCATTTATATTGTTTATTGAGTCCACCTGTAAAACCATTCCTGTTTTGGAGGTTGTCTCATTGTTGCCCATCTAGTGCACCTGTTGTTAATTTCATAAACACCAAAGCAGCTGAATCTGATTAACAACCCCTCTGCTTCTTAACTGACCAGATCCATATCCCAGGAGTTTCATTGACTTGATGCTAGACTCTGATTAAAAAGTGTTCCTTTAATTTTTTGAGCAGTGTATCTATCAAGGACTTTAGTAGTGGCATCTCTGTAGTTATGTTGCCTGCTCTGAAATTCTCCAGAGATAATGACAAGGGGATTTTACTCTCCTTATTGAAATTTTAATTTATTGTAAACTATGGAAAAGGCAGTATTAAGTTGGAACACCTAAAACTCCAAGGTGGACTGGAAGAGAACCAGAAACAATGGCAGGGAGATTCACATAAAATTTACATGGGCTCTAGAATCAGATATATTTGGTATATGCTAAGTGCATGCATGGATGCTAAGAAATGTGGAAGTGTAACCCTAACAGGTATTTTTTACCTCTTAGAGATCAAAGTACTTACCCTGAAAATGCCTTCATCTTCCTTTTTCTCCATAAGGTTGGCTCTATCTTTGTTCAGGCATCATCCATGGCCAGCATCTACAGTACATCCTGAACCGACTCACAATCATGTAAATCCTGGTGCCTGCGTTTTTAGCTATGTGCTCAAATATCTAACACCAATCAGCCCCTGATGCAGTCTTTCACCTTAAGGACTGGTTTTACACCATAACGTTTTTAGTCCTTTTTGCAGAAAAGTACTACAGACCCTTTAACATGGTTTCCTATGGAACACATTCATATCTATGCTTTTTTTTTTTTTTGAGCTGCTGCATTTTTGGAAATGCAAAAAGCAGCGCTTTTGCTATAATAGAGTTCAATAGAAATGCTGCTGAAACACATATAGTGTGTTTTTGCAGCATATAGTGTTTTTATTATGCCCAAAAACAAAAACATTTCCCCTTTAACAAAAAAATGTTGAAAAACGCAAAACGTGTCAAAAACGTGCAAAACGCACTATAAAAAGCATTGCAAAAAGGACAGAACGCACACTGCATTGGTGTGAACCAGGCCTAAGGCTAGATTCAAAACTATGCCTTTTACTGTATCTGTGCGGCATTTTCATGGGCACAACAGCCCCTTTATTTGAATGGACTGTTGTACCTGTGGGAAACACAGGGAAAAGGTCCCTGCACCTTTTCTAAAATGCAGCTGCGCAGAAGCCGCATGAAGCTTTTGCACCATGCAGTTTCATGTACCCAAAAATTCACTGCTTTTTTTCCAATGCATGGGGGTGCCATTAAGAATTAGTGACACCCCACACATCTGCAAAAGAGTAGTGTGTTTCGGCCACCGGTGCTGGAATGCATGCAATTTCCATTCAGTCCTGCACCTGCAACAGTGTGAACCTAGCCTTAGTATGCTGCAAGGTTACAATGCTGCAATTTGATCACTGGAAGAGAGGGAATTCTTCCTACTGCCTGCAGAAAACTGATAATCCAACCAAGGCACTTGTCAACTGACTGGAGCTCAAAATGGTGTTTTAATAAGAAAATGAAAAAATCTCATGTAAAAAATGGGTACCAAAATCACAGGGCATCTGGTGGGTTAAAACATTTTCACCTAAATCACTTTCAGTCATTCTGGCACAGCCAGGGCTGCTGTTAGAAACCACGGGGCCCCATACAGCCAACCTGACAGGGCCCCCTTCCCCAACAAAAAAAGTTTACTATGCTTCAGTTATGAATGAACACAGTATGTGATGGGTACTGATCACTCATTGTGTTCATTCAAGAAAGGAAGGGGCTGGTAACCGGACACTTCCTCCATTCTCCATCCTGAAGGATCCTATTGCAGTGTGCTTGCAGCTGCTCCTGGGACGGAGAGGAGGGAAGCCAGCAGCATTGCAAGGGTGAGATGCCTAGGCAGCAAGGGAAATGTATTGTGCACAGAGAGGGTGTTGGGTGTGGTGGGGGGGGGGGAAATTTGTGGAACCGATCCCTTGTATGGCTCTCTACTGCAGCTGAAAGCCAGCGGGAGAGGAAAACAAGCCAGCTATTAGCTGACTGTAATTACCACCCCGTTGTGCTGATCACCCTCCCTGCCCACATTCTATTCACCCAGCTGCCTGGGCCCCCCTGCTGGCCTGGGACCCGTACAGGAGGACTGGTGGTACCCACTTATCCACAGCCCTGGGCACAGCAAGTAGCATTGATCAATCAACATTGCATAGTATTACTCTATAAGTAGCATTCAAAGGCTGGGCTACATGTGCTGTGTGGTGGATGTGTACATTGGGTGGCAAGGGTGATGAGGCCAACCTATGCTCACCCACAGTTGGATTTGATCTGACATATCAATACAATTTTCTAAGAGTGATATAGTGAAGATCTACCTCAATGAATTTGATTTGAATGGATTGATTAAGTAGTAATAAACTGCCACTAATAGAAAAAGAAATCAGCCAGGGCCACGATGACGTCACTCCTGTGCATGCGCACAGGAGTCCCAGCATGGAGCTCTGAAGGTACGGCACAGGTATGCCATCCCTTCAAACTGATGTCACCAGTTGCATCCCATGTAAACGGTGCAGGTTTAGGAGATATTCACTGTATCTACAGGTAAGTCTTATTATTGGCTTCACTGTAGGTGCAAGTTAAAAAGTAAACTTTACTTCCACTTTAAGTATATCTAATTTGAATAGGGAAGGGTTAAAACACAAATCAGTTTATTTTTTTTAGCCCATTTAGGAACTTTCCCTTTGATTCCTGCCCTTGCACGCAACAGGACATATTAGAATCTCTAATAAATGAGGGGAATTCCCCTCTTAGACTCTAAAGCGCAGAACACACATCACAATCTGATTAGACAATCTCCTTTAGGCTCTGTTCACACCAGTGAGGCTTTTAGTGCTTTTTGCTTTTTTCAGGAACGCACTAGAGTCCATTTAACATGGTTTTCTATGGAACATGTTCAAATCTATGCTTTTTTGAGCTGCTGCATTTTTGGAAAAGCGAAAAGCTGCATTTCTGCTACAATAGAGTGCAATGGAGAATCTGCTGAAATGCATGGTAGTGCATTTTTGCCGTGTTTTTGCATTTTGCATTTTTATTCTGCCCAGCAAAAAAGAAAAATTCCACTTTAACAAGAAAAAAAAGAGCCGAACAAAATGTGGTAAAAACACATCAAAATGCGTGTAGAAAAATGCAAAACGGACAAACTGCATAGGTGTGAATGAAAATGTAGATCTGCCAACCCTATGTAGTATAGGTCCTTATATCACATAGTTCTGGTAATTAATTTAAAGTAGAATCTTTTCATTTTGTATTGAGTAACCCATGCAAGGTTAATTTTTGCCATGTCATTGGGGAAATTTCATTTCACTTCCTGTCTCATTACCAACACAGGAAGTGAGAGAAAATCCCTCTAAAGTGAAGGAATCCCTGGTTGTCACCAGAATTAGTGTTCCCATTGAAAGATATCCCTACGATTCCTGGTAAACAGAACTAATAGAGAGCGTAACATTGACACAGACAGCAATATAAACCTGACAAATATTTTAATCCCTCTCTATTCTATGAAAAAAAACATATAAAAAAAAGTTTTGCCTTCTTTAATTGAACAGGTTTAATTCTTTAATTGAATTTAATTAAATATTAAATTAATTAATGTTTAAATGAATTAAATATTAAATAAATTAATTAAATTAATGACTGCCTTCTTTAAGTGAACAGGTTTAATTCTTTAATTGAATTTAATTCTTTAATTGAACAGGTGTCATTCAAAAATGTTTACCCTCGCCTCTTGTTCTGCTGACAACTGAAGAATTTTCCAATTTCCTTCACTTTCTATTCCACTGACATTGGTGACCAGGACAGGTAGAGAGCATGAATCTCCCCAATGGAGACACAGGAAACAACGGAATCCAACTGATGAAAGGACAAACATGGGCCTATTACACTATAAACCATATAGAAAGGAAACTGGCCTTCTATAGAAAGGCAGGCACCCCTTTCATAAATTAAGGAATTCAACTAAATCTTGACAGGGGTTCTAACCCCTTACAAATCTAACAAACAATATTTAGATACTTTGATATTAATGTTTAGATACTCTTTTAATTGTCATCTCAGTGCATATGTACATTTTGTTGATCCGACGGATCTTATTACAGAGCAATGTTTTTGCATGCAGATAATATTTTACTAAAGGTTTGTATATAAAATCATCACATCACTGTTGGATTTGGCCCCGTTGTGGTCATGTATTTCAAGTGGTCAAGTTATACCTGCAGGTTTTCTTTCCAGCAATGTATGATGTTACCTGTAGGTGGCGCTGGATGGGATTCTGATTGTTTGCAGCTACCGTTTCATTTATTATAATTCAATTATGGATCAGCATTTTAATGACTACATTTATCTTAGTGCAGCTGAAATATACATGAATAATAGAGCAGGGTGAAGTAAAATGCTGCTAAACTAGACTTCAGTAACACAGAGTATCATGTTTAACAATAAAGATAGAGGTTTTAGAAAATGCTTAGTGCAAAAGAGAACTATTATGCAGAAGCTATAGGCCATAAAGGCAGAATATTACAGATTTCATTTATTATAGAGGTGTCCTGCCGCCTTCAGAAAACCAGGTTTTCCTCAGACAAATTGTTTTGGAATGTTTGTTCCCCAATTTCATTTGATTCAGATTCAGATTCTGGCAGATCCAGGTTCTTCTCCAGAAAAGACACCATTCCCTGATCCACTATCTTCTCCAGAGATGAAGTTTGGTAGTATGAAGGATGGGACTTTTCTCATTCTAAAAAGATAGGAAAAAATAAAAAAAAAGTTGGTTAAATAACTGACAGTAAAATGAAAAAGCCAATTGTCCCATTACTTTTGGTCCCTTAACAAGTGGGAGGCACATATGCAAACTGTTGTAATTCCTACACTGTTCACCTGATTTGGATGTAAATACCCTCAAATTAAAGCTGACAGTCTGCAGGTAAAGCACATCTTGTTTGTTTCATTTCAAATCCATTGTGGTGGTGTATAGAGTCAAAAATGTTAGAATTGTGTTGATGTCCCAATATTTATGGACCTGACTGTATGTTAATAGTATATAAATAATATGCGCAGGTTACAAAGCTTTCAAGCCACTTGTCGTTTTTTAATCCACAAATCCATTGCACCTGCGGAAGGCGATGGGTTCCCAGCTGCTTTGTGTGCAATGGATGACCCTGTCAGGCTTAAATATATTTCAGAAGAAAGGTCTCTTCAAAAGAAGAGCTTTAGCTAGATCCACACCTCTTCGTATTTGGAAATGCATCAAGAGCAATGTAATGCATACGTTACGATGCATGTCAACATGCACTGACATGCGTTACACAAAGTACAATTCCATTGCGCATTAATAACACATGACAACCCAATGTTAACGCTTGTTGACATGTGATTGAATACATTTCCATTGATTTTAATGGAAAATGCATCAGGGGAAAAAGTGCATAGGAGTGAATAGGCCCTTATCCACATGCATGTGTTAGGATGTACGTCAACATGTACTGGTATGGGTTATGACATGGATTGATATTTTATACAAAGTACACTTACAACATGCATTACCAACACGCAAAGACACGATAACATGTTTGGACACATTTCTATTGATTTTAATAAAAATTGCATCAGGGGGAAAATGCAAATAAGTGCAGAACACAGTGGGCTAACACACCCCTTGCTCCAGTCCACAGCACTGCTCAGGGCTGTTGATTGCTGATTAGAGGTAACCCATACCCAAACCACAAACATATTTTAAGAAAATGTCACATATTGCATGCTTGTAGTGCATTTCTATATTATTTATTCATTTCAGGTACTTATATAGTGCTGTCAATTTACACATATACAGTATATTGTACATTCATATCAGTCCCTAACCCTCAAGGGGTGTACATCTAAGGTCCCTAACTCACATTCATACATACACATACTAGGGCCAATTTAGACAGGAGCCAATTTTCCATTCCAGCATGTCTTTGGAGTGTGGGAGGAAACCCACACAGGCACAGGGAGAACATGCAAACTCCAGGCAGGTGGTGCCATGGTTGGGATTCAAACCAGTGCTGTCAGGCAGAAGTGCTAACCATTTAGCCACTGTGCTGCCCACTTTATTCATTATTCAAAATGTTCTATAAAAAGGCAAGAGACCCCATAAACATGAGTTATCCTTTGCAGCGCAAAAAAATGTCCTACAACATATCTGAATTCAACAACAAAATGTAATATAATTCTGCTTAGCAGTCTTTGCACATGGCAGCTGCATTAGTTTTCTTGTTTCACCTTTATTTTTATTTGGCTTTCCTGCCACTATCATATCTATCCTAGGGTGACAATGCTCACTCAATGTACTGAATTTACCAAGGAGCTGTGTTGTCTGGAACTGGAAGTGTGTTAGAACCAGGGGTGGACTGACCATTTGGAAACTTGGGTACTGCCCGAGGGCCCGGGGTCAGTAAGGGGCCCCATGAGATGCCCCTGGTACCTTTTTCATAGGCTTTTTTGAGTTTGGGCAAGGACACAGGGGCCCCATGATCCCCTATTGCCCGGGGGCTCCATGAGTTGTCAGTCCGCCCCTGGTTAGGACTACTAAACACCTGTCCCTCTTCTATTCTTAGTCACATGGGTGGAGGGGGTTCTGTACTCCACACAGATAGCTGGTAGCCATGGCAACTGATAACTAAGTGCAGCACAGACGAAAACACAGAAAGTTATTAGCTCACTGGATTTCTGGTTGGTTTAACTTTTTTTTTTTAATTTAATTTAATATCAAACAACACTAACAAAATGTTTTCAACAGATGAAAAGGGAAAATAAAAGAAGTTCATTGTAGGGTTAAGGTACACTTTAAAATGGTCGTATGCAGATAATAATTTGGTAATGGAAGCTCACATACACCAGCTTTAGTATTTATACAATCTACATGCATATTTTGCCTTGATCTACTATAAGGCCTCATTCAAATCAGCAGTGTCAAACCTGCATTTACGTGCATTTAGAGGACGTTTCTGAACACACATACTGTACATGCAGGTAATGATTTTTCAATGGTGCCATTCAAATTTATTGCTTACTTGCTGCAATCAGTTTAGCTGTTTAAAAAATAATAATAAAACAGAATAACACCAAATTAAAAATAAATTCAAAAGAAAATTAAAATTAAAAAAATAAATAAAAACTAAATAAATATGAACAATTTAAAAATTATAATAAAAATAAAGAAAATTGAATTATGTGTGTCCAAGACCAGATTAGAATGCAGCATGTAAACACAGCCAAAGCCTTATTATTACAGGTACTTATATAGTGCTATCAATGTACATTCACATTGTACATTCACATCAGTCCCTAATCCTCAAGGGGTGTACAATCTAAGGTCCCTAATTTACATTCGTACACATGCTAGGGTCAATTTAGACAGGAGACCATTAACCTACCAGCATGTCTTTGGCGTTTGGGAGGAAACCAGAGTACCTGGAGGAAACCCATGCAGGCACAGGGAGAACATGCAAACTCCCAGCAGGTGATGTTGTGGTTGGGATTTAAACCAAGGACCTTAGTACTCCTAGTTGGAAGTGCTAACCATTTAACCACTGTGCTGCCCTACAGTAGGAACATCTACATGCTGGAAAAACTAATCTGGGAGGCACAAAAGTAGTTTATGTTTCCCAGATAAATTCTCCTGCATTTGGAAAAGCTAAACGCATGAGTGCCTATGTGAGTGTAGCTGTGCTGGACTCTAATGAATGATAATATTTTCATACTTACACTGGATTAGTATCAATTTTATTGTTGATCTGGCCTTGTTCAAAAAGGGACTGTTCTTGGAAACAGGCAACTGAATTGTCATCAGGTCTACATCTGATCCTTTTGTATAGTTCTCTCTTCAAAGGCAAACCTATGGATATTTTGAAAAAACAAAAAAAAAAAGTTACATTTTATAATGACCTTTGCCTTCTTTCAATTAATTTGCTTACTTAGAGTATGATTAATAATCACAAATATCATAAAAATTAGTGGAAAGTACAAAAGTGATGGTGAAGATCAGGGGCGGACTGACAACTCATGGGCCCCTGGGCAATAGGGGGTCATGGGGCCCCTGTGTCCTTGTCCAAACTCAAAAAAGCCTATGAAAAAGGTACCAGGGGCATCTCATGGGGCCCCCTACTGACCACGGGCCCTTGGACAGTGCCCCAGTTTCCAAATGGTCAGTCCGCCCCTGGCGAAGATTTCAGATGGAAACATTGTACCTTAAGTAGCATAGTGTACTTTTAAAAGAAACATACACTTCAGAAATATGGGGGCTGCCATTGCTGGCCACTTTTTTCACATTTCTAGTTACCTGTCTCTCTGTGGCTTCAGGACTTTATGAGTAACTGAGCTAGAGTACCAGGTATGAGACAGAATATCTGATCTGCACACTTGTTCTGAGTCAGTGGGGTTCACTTTGCAAGGGAATTTTCCCCAGGGCTTTGTGAATGCAGTGAAATTTCACTTTACAGAAAATACCCAATCACTTGCAAGGAGAATAAAAAACAAAATTTTTGCCTGCACATGATTGGATAATAGAAGTCAGTGGCACTTTACTTTAGTCACTAATCTCTGGGGAAAGTGTAACATATAGAAAAAAAATCATCCGCTTTAAAATAATCAGATTTTGTTGCTCTGCAGCCTGAAATGAAGACAGACACAGTTTTTGTTTTATCCAGCTGTATTTACTCAGTGTAACTAATAACATTCAAGTAAAAGATTTAACACCAAATCCAAATTTTGATTTAAAATCAAAAACAGAATCACTGAATTAGAAAAAGGATCACCCCTTTGTGTCAGTATTTTATTGATCTACCTTTTGCTTTAATTACAGCCTAGTAATTAGTCTGTTAGAATATGTCTTTGCTTTGCACATCTAGACTTTGAAAAATTTGCATGCTCTTCTTTGCAGAACTGCTCTAGTTTAGTTACATTTGATGGTGACTGTTTGTGGACTGCAGTCTTCAAGGCATTCCACAGATTTTCAATGGGGTTTAAAGTGTTACTAAATCTACAACAGTAAAATCAGTCTGTATATGCAGTAAAGCATGCTTGTTTACCCACTGCGGAACCTAAGGGGTTAATTCTCCACATTGTGTAAAAAGGATGTTTGATCCTCTCTTCTCTGATCCTCCCCTTCTTCCATTATCCCTTAAATATCTCCTGATAGAACAGAGGTTTGGAGCCACTCTGCACATGCTCAGTTTGGCATGTATTGCTAGAGAGAGTTTTTTTTTTCTTGGGAGAGTACATGTGAATAGCACAGGGCCAATCAGCGCCGTCAAGACAGAGGTCAAAGATCCTGCATCCTCCTAGAGGAGAATGAAAATTCCTCCTACAAGCTTTAACCAGTGTTCTGCTGGGCACTGATAGAAGTCACAAGACTGCTGTATACTGCTGATGAGAAAATGTGTTTAGCAGTTTATATAACTAAAATACTTGCATTTCCATTTTCTGTGTACTGTGGGAGAACAGATATAGTGAATGCAGGGTCCTGGGCAAGGGCGGACTGACCATTTGAGGGCCCGGGGTCAGTAGGGGGCCCCATGAGATGCCCCTGGTACCTTTTTCATAGGCTTTTTTGAGTTTGGACACAGGGGCCCCATGATCCCCTATTGCCCAGGGGCCCCATGAGTTGTCAGTCCGCCCCTCTTCCTGGGTTTAGTAACACTTTAAGTCTGGGCTCTGACTAGGCCATGCAAGGACATTCACATTTTTCTCCTTTAATCACTGGGGGAGATTTACTAAAACCGGAGCCTGCAAAATTTGGTGTAGCTCTGCATTGAAACCAATGGCCACCATGCACAGCTGCACCAGTTCTGTGTTCCAGTTTTTGTAAATCTCTCCCACTGTGGTCATTTTTGCTGTGTGCTATGGGTCTTTGTCATGTTGGAAGGTAAGCCTTCTTCCCAATGACAACTTTCTGGCAGAGGGCACAGCTGATCATCCCAAAGATCTTTTGACAGTACCTTGCCACCCATAGTTGATTGTTTGCTTCAGTTGCACTTCCAGGGACTGAAATGCTCCAGGTAAAGCTTTTTTAATGCTTAACTAATCAAATGATCACAGCTGATCACAGTTGAAAGGCAAATGGCTTTGTATGTCAAGGCAAAGGTGATTAGCTACACCTGATTGAGTTTACAAGTTATTTTTAGGAGGGGGTGATCCTTTTTCCAAATCAGTGATTCTGTTTTGGATTTTTGTTTTCTTAAATTGCTGATATATTGGTATTACATTTTTCACTTGGATGTTATAAGTTGCACTGAGTAAATACAGCTGGATAAAACAAAAACTGTGTCAGTCTGCTTTTTGGGCTGCAAAGCAGCAAAATGTGATTCTTTTAAAGCTGGGTGATTTTTCTACACCCACTGTATCTTGCAAAGTGAACAATCTATTTGCCAATGACAGCCTCTGTACTTCTGGAGAAAATGGATAGATGGAGCTGGATTCCCTATAGTTTTTCTTATTATCACCTAAGAGGGAGATCATTTAGGTGTAAGATGTCTGGACAGTGGCTTCTACACACCACAAAGGTTTCCCAGGTTCTCCTGGGTTGAGACTGAAAGCTGTGAATCTGGGATTGAAGCATTCCATTACATATTAAAGTCCAGGTAGAAGTTTATCTTAGTGTATGGAGGAACCAGGGGAGGACTGACAACTCATGGGGCCCCCAGGCAATAGGGGATCATGGGGCCCCTGTGTCCTTGCCCAAACTCAAAAAAGCCTATGAAAAAGGTACCAGGGGCATCTCATGGGGCCCCCTACTGACCCCGGGCCCTCGGGCAGTGCCCAAGTTTACAAATGGTCAGTCCGCCCCTGGGAGGAACTTTATCATTTAAATGAAGATAAGATGGAGAGTCACCATACAATATGGAACAAATAGGGGGAATTCAAAAAGTCAAGGCTAGCCTTGGAGGTTATGGGGAGATTAACAGAATAATATGGAAACATATTTTGTTCTTCTTTTATAGGGATTATGATCTCCTAAAATGAACAGGAAATGCAGAGCAGAGGGGGTCAGGGATTGGATGGGGGGGGGGGGGGATGGGTGGTATAAAGGTAGGGGGGGGGGGGAAGGGATGAAACAATAAATGTTTTGATAATATGCTAAGGTTTTAATAAGTATGTTTGTATAACTTGTTTATCTGAAAAATTAATAAATATTTAAATTAAAAAAAAAGAAGTTTATCTTAGTGTAAAACCAGATGGAAACTATACACACAGCCACTGAATTTCAGGGGTCGAACCCTATACTCTTCCTCAAGGCTGGAAAAAGGGAGTAAATTAAAATGATGGTATATTACATGATATAATTGTAAATTGTTGAATTATAACGATGGTACATGATAGTACAAAATTATATAAGTAAAATGTAATTTATTATCAGATATACCATTAGAAATTGATACATAATTATGTTTTTGATATAGCTACTAAAACTGTGGAATATTAACAAATTTAAAAAACTTTTGTAATAGGATAGGAACATAACATGTAGCAGCATATAGAGCATGTTTAGGGATGGAAAGTGCAAAGATAAAGCACCTTTACCTTAACAGGAGGGAAAACTTGTATGATGACATAGTAATAAAAAACGTAGTAAATATAGTATATGGAGGAAAGGAAGGTATTTGATGTGAATGGTGCATGCTAAGTCATGGCATAGCAGTAGCAGCTAGAAGAGAATGGGGGGAATGGAAATAAATTTACTTAAAGCATATTTCCACCTTTGAAGATAAATTGGGTTTACACCTACTTATATTTCTTACATTTTCCCATTCACATAGCATAGCATTAAAAAAAATATTTAAACATTGATGCTTACATTTGTACTTGGCCCTTTTGTGAAAACACCAAAACTAAAATTTTCCCCTGCAATGTGATGTTAAGAAGGGTACTGAAAATGAACCATTTACCTATAATTAACCCTGTCTTTACTGTGCTGGCAGATCTCATTATCAAACTAGATCCGAACACTGTCCTAACAAAGGCTTAAAGTGATTCTAAAAGAATTATTTTTTTTCCAAAAATAACAAACATGTTATACCTACCTGTTTTATGCAGTGATTTTGCACAGAGCAGCCTGGATCCTCCTCTTCTCGGGTCCCCCACAGGCTCTCCTGGACCCTCCCTTTTGCCAGGTGCCCCTACAGCAAACAGCTTGCTATGGGGGCACCCGCTGCTCCATGTGTCCATTCACACACAGAGCTGTGGCTTGACCTGGGGCGGACTGACCATTTGGAAACTCGGGCACTGCCGAGGGCCCGGAGTCAGTAGGGGGCCTCATGGGATGCCCCTGGTACCTTTTTCATAGGCTTTTTTTAGTTTGGGCAAGGACACAGGGGCCCCATGATCCCCTATTGCCCGGGGGCCCCATGAATTGTCAGTCCGCCTCTGGGCTCGACCATGTCCCCTCTCTCTTCTCATTGGCTCACTGGCTGTGATTGATAGCAGTGGGAGCTGATGACTCCCGCTGCTGTCTCAGCCAATGAGGAGAGGGAGTCCCAGGATAGCCAAGATTGCCAGTGGTTCGAGAGGGGGCTTAGGTAACTGGGGGGGGGATGCTGAACAGAGAAGGTTTTTTAAAAAACCTTGAGCCTTTACATCCACTTTAATGATCTCAAAACATTGGTTCTGCCTTGTATGTAGCCTTTTAAATTGATCTTAAGGCACAAAGGAGGGAGGATGGGGAGACGTACATCCTGATCATGTGACCCACTATGATTGGCTTTCACAGAGGTCCCATGATCAGGAGGCTGTGGCACCACACCGGGAGCTGTCGGTAACAGCTCAGTCACTGTACTGGGAGAGTGCGTTGAACAGGTCCTCAGGACAGAAACCTCAACTGCCCTTTATGTATATTTGCGGCATGTGGGTGTTAAGGTCCACCTTCCTTTTCACTGCCTGTCCTCTGCCCCCACTTACATAAGTATGCTGTGTGAATGGGAACACATAATAAACATATAGTAGGGTCATTCTCTAATTTGACTACAAAAGTGAAACTACACTTTTAGCTTGTGTGTTGGATAGGAGCAAATTCATTAGCAGCTGATTGGTGCAGCAAGCAAAGATGCTAGTGAGCTGTGACTTTCTTGAAGGATCCATATTGAGTGCAGATAAGACTGGTGTAAGTTTGGTCAAACACCAGATGTATGTTAGGGGGCAGAACACTAGGGTAGAATGGAATGGTAAATGTTATATAAATATATAAAAAATATATATATAAAAAAATTATCAAATCATAAGTCCAGAAAAATATATATGCCAATACCACAAAAAGGGCAAAAAAACTTTAAAGTGCAAAAAAACTTTTCGTGCAAAAAAAGTGTCTAAACTTGAAGAATTTCACCAAAAACCTTGATAATGTGATGGCAGATCATCCATAAATATATTTTCGGAAGCGGAAAAACTCAGCAACACACCGATCCTCATCGATCAAATAACAGGATCAGAAACTTTGTAATTTAATCGGAAATCCACTTCTCCAAAAGAAAAGACCACCTTCAAACAAATCCATGGGGGGAATTGCCAAGCACTCGGGAGAAACAGAAAGACTTCATGGTGCAATTGATTATAAAAACCAATTCCTTTATTAGGTACTCATTGCACTTACTCAAGAGGTGTCCCAGCCGACACCAGCATCAACAGCATAACAGCAATCACATAAAAGAGCCTGGCTACTCAGCACATGCGCAATAGCTGGCAGCCAAAAACGTAATGACGTCACATCAATCAAGCTCCGTCCTACGCGTTTCGTCATCAACGTCCTCACGCTCCGTGAGGACGTCGATGACGAAACGCGTAGGGCGGAGCTTGATTGATGTGACGTCATTACGTTTTTGGCTGCCAGCTATTGCGCATGTGCTGAGTAGCCAGGCTCTTTTATGTGATTGCTGTTATGCTGTTGATGCTGGTGTCGGCTGGGACACCTCTTGAGTAAGTGCAATGAGTACCTAATAAAGGAATTGGTTTTTATAATATTGCACCATGAAGTCTTTCTGTTTCTCCCGAGTGCTTGGCAATTCCCCCCATGGATTTGTTTGAAGGTGGTCTTTTCTTTTGGAGAAGGGTGGATTTCCGATTAAATTACAAAGTTTCTGATCCTGTTATTTGATCGATGAGGATCGGTGTGTTGCTGAGTTTTCGCTTCCGAAAATATATTTATGGATGATCTGCCATCACATTATCAAGGTTTTTGGTGAAATTCTTCAAGTTTAGACACTTTTTTTGCACGAAAAGTTTTTTTGCACTTTAAAGTTTTTTTGCCCTTTTTGTGGTATTGGCATATATATTTTTCTGGACTTATGATTTGATGATTTTTTATATATATATTTTTTTATATATTTATATACATTTACTAGCGCAAATTATTTATTAATTGGTACACTTTATATATGGTGGTTTTTTGCAGCTAAAACATTATTAGTAAGTTATATAATTTTGACCATAGGCGCTATTATTTATTTTTCTTATTAGAATA